GCGGGAGAATTTGTATGAGGCTGGGCAGAAGGCCTTAAAAATAGCTTTAGGATGGGCGCAAGACGTCAAGAGTGGGCGTTGCCGCCCACCTCCGCCCTGCATATAACGACATCCCTGTACTTCTCAGAACCCCTTATCCCCTCCCCCTTTCATAAATTTCTGGATCCGCCTCTGATTTTTTTGCCTCAAAATGAAAATACTGTATTATCTTACACAATCATTATTCAAAAAGATACAATCAAGTTATTGCAATTCACAAATGTACATTGATTTTTTACGTACAAAGGAACGTTTTTCTTAGTCTGACGAAGGGAACTGGAACAGAAGCACTTCTAAAATTATATGAATGGGTTTTCCGAGATGTGTCTAATAATTCAACATAGGAAGAGGAAGCATTTTTTTTTTAAAAACTGAAACAAATATTGCCAGTTGTACCTTGTGAATATCAAATAAATTAAAAGTTTTCAGTCGTTTGAATAAAGGTTCAGATGGAGTTCGGAAGAATGAAGGTATGATAATTCTAGCTGCACGTTTCTGTAATTTAAGAAGTTTATTCAAATTTGAAGGATAATCAGAAGCCCAGACAATATTGCACCACTGTAAATGTTGTATAATAAGGGTATTTATTATAAAGGGAAAGTAGAATATGTTTGGGAAAAATAAACTTGAGCCTATTAAGGATGCCAATAGTTTTAGATATTTTTTTAGAAATGTAGTTCTGGTGACTGGTTCACTTCAAATTTTCTTGGATGATAACACCAAGAAATAAAGTTTCTGTTTTACGCTCAATAGTTTTGTTATTAAGAAAAATTTTATAAGTATTAAAATTCATTTTTTTTAGTAGAATCAAAAATAATATTAGATTTTTGAGTGTTTATACAAAGTTTATTTGAAGCGAACCAGTCATCATATTTGAATAATTCCCTATTAACAGTATTAATACTTCCATATTTTGATTAGAATAAAAAAGAGTGGTATCATCAAAGAAAGCTATTACCTGCAGTGTGTCACTAACATTATTTAAATCATTAACATAAATTAGTCCTGTGGCACACCACAGGTAATATCCCTCGTAGATGATTTGCATTGTTGCAAGAACCTATTGAAACAAATTGTTTCCTATTGAAAAAATAACTTTTGAACCAGTCGAGTGTTACACCTCTGATTCTTAAAAATAGGAATAACTTTGCAATTTTCAAATATTCTGGGAAAGAATCTGATGTAAAAGATGCATTAATAGCATAAGTAAGAGAATGAATAATAAGATGGGAAACACATTTGATAACATGTGATGTGACATTATCGTTACCGCATCCTTTGGAAGAATTTAAATTAAAAATAATTTGGCTAACTTCGTGTACAGTAACGGGATTTATAAAGAAAGAATTGCTTAAGGAAGAAGATAATGAATCAGAGATGTTGGTACTGATTGATGAAAAATACTTATTGAAAGAATCACATATGTCATGATCATTGGCAATAATTGTATTGCCAACTTTGATCAACTTTGGATTTTTTTTTTTCGAGGATTGATGGCAGAATTTATAATAGACCATATGTTTTTTAAGTTACCTTTGCATTAATGGAATTTTGAAAAATAATAATTCTTTTTGGCAGTGCGACACATTCATAAATTTTGAGATAACTTAGCCAACAGTGTTTACAAGTTTTCAAATATCAGTGCCAGGGATATGAAGGAACATAATGCAAGTTTCATTGGCTGTAGCTTCATAGCAACAGACCTTTTTTAGTTCCTATGCATGTAATGCAATAGGAACTATTGTAATCACTCTTGCTATTTCCTATGTTTTTTATTGTGTGTAGTGTGTATGTGTGTGTGTAGACATTTATGCAAATGCGCATGCGTCAAAGAA